CCCCCCCCCTGTGTGTTTGCCATCGAGATTGGGTTTTCGTCGCTTGGTAACGACGTTGTAAAACAAACCATTTCACTTCGTGAACTCGGCAACCAGCTTACCGTTTTTTTTATTTGTTACCTCTGTTTTGTTTGTGCGGTAACCATGAATGGTGGTCGAGTGGATCATGTTGTGCGGGGTCGAGAACCCTCACTCCGCGCAAGGGGGATGATCGCACCACGTCGTGTTAAAATGGTCAAGCACCCTTGAGGCAGTTACACAGTGCTTATAACTGTCTCAGGAAGTGAAAGCACCAGAAAATACATCAAGTCATACGCAGCTGTCATCCGTACGCAAGGAAGGAAGCACAAGATGCCGAACACCCTTAGCAGGATGCAGCGCACCCTTCATGCGACTCGCCGAATATCTCACGGCGCTTCGCGCTTGGTGATGTGAGAGCCTGGTCCGGTGAGAACCCGGCGTGCTTCGTCCCGGCTTTGTAGGGATGCGAGGTCGATGGTCTAACGACTATGGCATGCACGACTATGAGTACACTCCCCCTCCACCTTACACATTTTGCGGTGCCCCCTAGGCGGCGACGTCAACAGCTGACACGGCAGCAGCGTTACAGGAGGACGCGAAAGAAGCGTCAACAGCATCAGGAGCAATAGCCGACTTTAGCGGTGCTGGGGAGGAGGGGAAGGGTAGTGTTGGGGGGTCAGCGGGGGCAGGGGTGGAGGGTGTTGATGCGCGGGGGGGCATGTTGGAGGACGAGGACTGCCCGGATTTGGACAGCTACGTGGAGGACAACTTGATGCAGGGGGACGAGGTGGGCAAAAGCGACGGGGGGGGGCAGAACTCATGTTCAGAACGCATGCCGTGGTCGTTAGACCCTTGACCTCGCACCGCTACAAGGCCGTACGGGAGCGACATGGGAGCGGGGGACGCAGCATTCGAGAAGCTGTGGGTGTTTCTGAATTCGGCTGGCATTGGGCGGTTGTCCACTGCTGTTGCTGCTGACTAATGGCGCGTGTGTTATTTCGATACGTTGCGATGTTCCCACCCCTTTTTCACCACGGGTTGAGTCGCGTGCTCACATCCCATTTCAAACATTCCAGACACTTGTTTGTTCGTTGTGACAACCCATGTACGCAAGTACTTGTACGTAAATAGTCGGTCAGTTGTGTAGCTGTTGTTGTTGTTGTTGTTGTTGTTGTTGACATCCTCCTCGTGTACGTATTTTTCATTTCTTTCTTCACTTCCTATATCCGCAGCGCGCTTGGCGCCGGCCTTGTTGTTTGTTTGATACTGTTGTGGTTGTGCTTGTTTTTGCTGTTGTTGCTGCTGCTGCTGCTGGCGTTGGAATTGTTCATGTCGTTGTTGTTGTTGTTCATGCTGATGTTAGTGTCGTCGTCGCACGCTTGTAGCGTTCCCCGTTGTCGTGTCCTTTGCTGTATCCATGCAACACTAATTGTTGAAGTCGTTCGCCACTGGTCCTGACTCGCCTGGCCTAGGCGCAAGCAGGGGTATGGGCTGCCAACGCACGAAAGACGCGCACGCAGGCGTGTACGATTGGTTACCAGTCGAGCCCCACAAACAGGCTTGAATAGTTGACTGCCAGAGACAGAGAGAGTGGGCGGGAAAAGTCATGACCTCCGTTGCGCATGTACTGGTATGGGTATGTGCCTTTTGCGGCCCACGTCTGTACTGTGCTGTGTGCTGTACCCCTCAAGGCTACGGTGCAGGCGGGAGGCGTGTCTTACCTCACGGCGCAGGAGCCGGATGACCCCATACTTCCCACGAGAAGCTACGACCTGAGCATCACCTACGACAAGCACCACCAGACGCCAAGGATGTTTCTCTTCGGCTACGACGAGGTACGGAGCACGCAGGACTTTATATATATATATATATATATATCTTTCTCTTTCTCTCTGTAGTTCTTTCTCTTCCCCCCCGCCCCTCGCTCCCCTGTCTCTGCATGTGTGCGTGTTGTCATTGTAATAGCATCGACCGCGCTAACCGGCTGACGAATGAAAAGACGCCAATCTCGGTGCGGCTGAAAGCTTAGTATGCTTCTAACGGCCATAATCTGGGACCCTGTGAGGGGGTATCATGGTGGAAGCCTGTTTAGCTGCTCTCCGGATTAAACGCAGAAAAAACGGTAGCAAGCCAAGAAGGGCTGGGTAGGGGACCCCAAAGAGAGGAACCCTTCTGTGTGACCACGGGTTGGAGTAAACGGCACAAGTGCTGTGAGCGCTGATTTGATGAAGTGAAGACAAAAAAAGAAGAAAAACGAAGAAAATTGCACACATGTCTTGTCTACCAAAGCTGCCACTTTGTTCTCGCGTATGTGTGTCGGCGATCAGCAAGTCGCTTGCTTCGTCAGCAGCAGTACATGTTACATGTTACATGTTACATGTTACATGTTACATGTTACATGTTACATGTTACATGTTACATGTTACATGTTACGACAGCAGCAGCAGCAGCAGTGGTGGTGGTGGCAAAGGCAGAAAAGACTGCCACGCATGCCTGAAGGACGACAACGACAGGGAAGAGACGGTGGAGGGTAGAGACAGAGACAGTGACAAAGACAGACAGACAGACAGACAGACAGACAGACAGACAGACAGACAGAGACAGAAGAGAGAGGGAGAGAGAAGCAACACGCGCAGTTCTCAACTACGGGACGTGGACAGCATGAAGAGTGCAAATATCTTGTTGCTGTAGAAGTGTCGGGACGAATTATCCTGGTGCGTATCGGGATCGGTGGTGCAAGGGCTGCGCTAGGAGGGAATTGCTCTTTCCCGCTTACCCTCGGCTTGAATCAGTACGAGGTGAGGGGCTGAAACCACCACCGTAGGTGGCATTCGCTACCTCCTGAACCAATTTTCAAAGCTCGATTTCTCCACGACGAAGAGGATGTGGAACTCAAACGATGTACGTTTTCGGCAAGCTCTCCAAGAGACGGGTCCAAAGCAGCAGCCTATTTTCGGCACAGCCACTCTTTCTGCCGTGGAGCAGTCGAGCTCTGTAAATCGATCCTGGGTGTGTGATACGTTGCATCACCCAACGGTAGTTGGCTGATATTTCCATCTGCGTAGAATTATTCGCTCCGTGGCCAAGTTTTTTCTGTGAGGCGACGACTGCAGAAGTGAACAATCAATCAAGGCTTGCAGGGATCGACACTCCGCCCCCCCCCCCCCCCCCCCCCCCCCCC